AGTTTTCATTCCATCCATGATACTTGCTCAGACACCATTATCTCTCCTGAAACTCTCTAGTGTCTTGAGTATTTCTTGCAGCAGTCTGTTCAAAGGAAGAAAAGATGAAAGGTTTGTCTTCTCATTGCACAGTGTGAGTATGTGTATTTGAGTTATATTGATGTACCCACAGTGAACTAAGGATGGCTGGGGCAATCTCCTTAGGGTTTTGTTTTGTGAAACAGCACCACAGAGGTAGAAATCAAATTGACCTCTAAATGAAAATAGTGAATGGAAAATACCTGTTCACATCTTTTTTGTTCAAAACACAAACTTCTGTAGGCATAACATACCTACTTAACACAATTTAGCTGTCTGTGCTTCAGCAGTTTGGTTGCAGTCTACTGCCAATGCAAGCAAAACACTGACTTCTGTTCTGGGGAAGTTTGGAGTCAGAAACAGGTACTAACTAAATACAGAGGAATGAGCAAAAAGGAGCAATGTATACAAAATGGAAAGGATCATATGCCTCCCCAGTGCATTAAATTAGTCCAATATTAAAGGAGATTATTCTAATAATATGTTTGGTCATCAAAAACTTAGTCCCTCCAGTGCCATTACTCTTACTTTCTGGTTGGCTTGTGGTTTCTCTGTATTTCAGGCTGGAGGAGATTGTTGTGCTGTCGTAAGACTATGCTTATGTAGTCTTGTGCACTGAATGGCACAATGTATGGTGGCTTTTTGAAAAACAATAAAATATTACCAAATTCTATCCTATTTGCCTTCTTTATGCTGCCCATGCTGGTTTGATCTTGCTACCTGTAAGAATTTGTCAGTAAGGGCTTTCAGATACAATGTGGGTTCTTGTCAGGCTAGTTTTTGCTTTCTTGCTGATCAAAGCATTGTCAGGAAGGTAAGGATTAGAACTTCACAGTGCTAGCAAGTGATGGAATTGGAGGCCCTCATGAGGAATGAACACTTTCCAAGGCTGGTCTGTCAGTCCCTGCCACTTCAGTGCTGCAATCCTCTGCCAAACTAAATGAAAGCTTACTGAGAAACTTAACAGTCATACAATACAGAAGTATAGACATCCACATAACATAAATGCTAAAAAATTAGCTGATCAAGAGAGTAAGGCTATGTGAATGAAATGTGAAGCAGAAGGACTTGTAGTAGTCCAGCTACAAGAGTGTGACCAGAAGGATTGCTTCTTTTTCCAAGCTGACCTGTCATTTTGCCAAGGCTGTTTAGCTGCCCTGTGATATTAATTAATGCCTCTTATTTTCTTGCATGTGCTGTGCCATACCAGTCTTATTTATCTTCTTTAATGAACATCTTTGAGATGTGTTTTGATGATAACTGTCTATATGGAGTATGATACTGGCAACTTCAACTTTTTATTAACTTGCTTTGCTAAATGGGATTCAACCAAATTTATGTAATTGAACCAGGCTCCTTTAAAGACCTGTCACACACAGAGTCTGGTCATTAGCAAATGTACTGGGACCAACCTTGTTACAGCAGCAAAAAGTAACCTGCTGAGAAGGAATTTATGTATTTACTCATTTATGTAAAAACCTGTGTCCTGTGAATGGTGATGCTGAAGTTCTTGAATTCCTCTGTGGAATTAATGGGTCTGGAAATACAAAGTCATGTGCTGAAAGCGAAGTTTTCCTTCTCCATTTTGATATATGTAGTGGTGTGTTTTCAGAGGTGGGATACTTTGCATGCAGTAAAAAATGTGTTTTATTTTCAGGTAAATGTAAGGAGTATATCTTCTGAGCACCTAAGTATTTTCTGTTATAATACAGTCCAGCAGTACAGTAATGTAAGAAATGTAAATGCTGGTGGGTTCTGTGCTGTCTCAGTGAGAACTTTCACTGACAGGGATGCTTCCAACTTTTGCAGGATTCGTATGTTGATTGATGAAGGCTATGAAGACAGAATTCTGATGGCTCATGATGTGCACACCAAGAACAGGTTGATGAAATATGGAGGTCATGGATATTCACATATCCTCAAAAATATAATTCCTAAAATGCTAATTAGAGGCATATCCCAAGATAAAATTGATAAAATACTCCTAGCAAATCCAAAGCGGTGGCTGACTTTTAAGTAGGAACAATAAATAAATATTCCTGATTTATAAGGAAGCTTGATAAAATTCAGATTTCAATAGAACAGTCATTAAAAAAAACCTGAAAATCTAAAAATAAATTAGATGCAAATAAACTAATTATAACTTTTCTTTTTAATTAGAACATCAAAATTGTGTACTGTCTCTATATTTTCTCCCTTCTGAAAGTCTGCTCATGTGTGAATTTTTACTGAGTATGAGCCTACCTACAGATTTACTGAATATGAGCCTACCTACAGAATATTTGCAACTGACATTTTAAGATAATTGTTTCAAAAGCATAAACTACTACTGTTACTGCATGTTACCTCTAAAGTACTTCTGAAGATGTGTCACCTGGAAGGAAATTTCCTTGGAAGGAAATGATGGTTTTCAGTTAAATTTCCTGTCTTCAGGGGCTGATTTTAATCCTTGTAATACTGTCAATCTTCTCATTATCCTCATATTCTTTAAGTAATACTTGATTGAAAGGTCTGGAAGTTTTAATTAGCTTCCATAGACAAGAGAAGGCAAGAGGAATTTCAAATCAAAAAAGATAAGGTTTCTTTCCAGTTTAACAGTTTACTTAATTGTAACTGATAATGTAAAAAATACATGGAAAAATATATTTTTGAATAAAGCATTTTGATCACCTCTTAAACTATGTGCAGTATTATTACAGATGTCTTTTTTTAATTGCATTAATTTTTTTATCATGAACTTGGTCTCACAGCAATCATGTAAAACTTGACACATATCAGCTTTTTGTAAGGATGCAACACCAGCACTCAAAATATATTACATAATACAGTTTTAATGAGTTGTATTACTTATAACAAAGGTTGTGATATCAGTCTTTACAAATCAGCGTATCAAGATATGATGAAAAAGAAAGGTTTGCCTTATATGTGGTTTTCACATAACGTGTATTCTTTGCTCTTGTCTAACTTTAAATAGGGCAGGTGATTTATCCAGAAAATGGTGTTATCCAATAGCAGTGGTAGCCTGATTTCAGAAATTTCTTCAAGTTTGACCATGTATATCTTGTAGAATTGAACTTTACCAATAAACACCGTAGTGAATGCACACTGCAGGTTTTGAATGATCTCTGGCACTAGGTGCAGGACTGCTGGACACCACGCAGGGAATCTCTAGTAGCTACACTGCTGTGGGAGCGTGCTGGCCAGCAACAGCAACAGTGGAGCGAGCAGACAAGTCAGGTACACATCTGGTACTAAAATAATTGCCTCGTAGGAATTAAACAGGAGTGACCACTGCAATGTACAGATATGAGCTGACACTTTGTCATAAGGTAAAAGCATTACCTGTCTGGTGAGATAATACACACGCAGCTGGCAGCACGATGTCCCCTTGTAAACCCTGGATGAGTTTGCCTGGCGATCCTCTCAGCCAGCCTGGGCTCACTCAGCATTTGTTTTGAATTGAACGACTCAAAACAGAAGGAGTAACACATTCTGTTTAAGAAAAAAGGTTCACTCATTCAAACAAGATTTTCAGGGAGATGTGTAAAATCTCTATCAGACTTTTGCTGAATAGCCAGCACTGGAGAGCTTTTTTGTCAGAGTGGCAGACACTTTGGAAATTTTAGTGCAGATAAATCTAAGTTTGTACCCTTATTACATTAGACAAGGTTGCTTGTGACAGAGTGTATGAAATAGCAGTGCTAGGGGCAGCCTCTGTTATTCTTTTATGATTTACAGAAATGTTAACCTTGATTTTGCCAAAAGGTTAAAAACAACATAACAAACTGTGCTAAAGAAATTGAATAATCTTGATGAAATTTAGGTTTAGAATGAAATCTGCAAGTTTTAACCTGAGAGAAATAGCCTCCCAAAACCAAAGCAAATAATAAATCCATTTTCTGAATAAAAAAAAATCTGTGGACATTACTGCTATGACTGATTTTAAAGCATTTTTTATAACTATGTATCTCTGTTTAGTTTGTTCTCCAAGCCATTAATCCTCTATATGGATTAATCTTCTTTGAGACTTTATATATCTATAGCTATATCTATATGAATGAGAAAAATAGGTTTTAATACACACTTTTTTTTTTTTTTTTTTTTTAATTAAATTTTTTTTTTTTTTTTTTTTTTTTTTTTTTTTTTTTTTTGTATTTTTTTTTTTGCTTCTTTCTTTGCATATGTGTTATCTTTTTTGGTAATATGCTTCTCTGTGTCCATCTTGTAGGCACACCTTACCACAAACTGGTACTAGCTTCCATGGAAAAGGTCTGTGTGACAGCATTTTCTCACGTGTCTGATCTCCCACTCTTCCTTTGTTTGTTGGAAAAATCCCACTGACTTCAGTGAGACCAGACACTAAGACAATGAAGGCTGTCTATATTCCTGCGAAATTCTAGTGGAACATCTGCAGTACATTAATCCATAACTATTAAAAATAGAATCCAGGTACAGACTAAGTGCTAAAAGACTAATGAAGACTAATTGCTGCAAAGAAAACACTCTGCCTTAGTCTGATGGTGTGGATGCCAGGCTTTCTAAATATTTACACAACTAACCATCAACAATGGGCCTGTAATAATTGTCTAAATATATATTTACATGTATACAAATTAAAAGCCAAATCCCTTTTCCACTAACAGCAATGAGAGTTTTGCCATTTGCTTTGGTGGAATCAGTGATATGGTCCAATAGAATAGTTTGTCAGCTGTTATATATTTCAGGGGAAAATAGTGTTTCTTCTGTCTTTTGCTTTTAGAGGACAGCTAAGGGAAAGACAAAATTTAAATAACTCCACTGGATTGATACTGTGTTAGAAGTCTAATACAAACCTACAAAACAGGAACATTGAGTTAAGGCTTAAAGCTGATTAGTTTCTACTTTTAAGTGGAAGGGTAAGAAAGTACAAGGCAAACAACTTCTTTGCAGAGAAAAAGTATATTTTGATTACCTCTTCCTTTTATTGTAAAATCATTCCTCACCACACTATGAGTGGACTCCAAGCATCATTGTTAGCAGGTAAGTCACAAGAACCAAAGCTGAAGTATGGATAAAGCAGCAAGATCATAACACATCAAAGTATCATATACACTGAAGAAGTAACTCAGCGTCCTTAGGTGGGTTTTTGTTCCCTATAAAAATTTGATCTATGTAGAACTTCATTCACATGGACACTTAACAATGAGGAAGTATTTGCTTTGGCGGAAGTGGATCGCACATCTGTTTAACTTGGTTTGTGGGGTTTTAACATAAGGTTTCTCTGCGTTGTACAGATGTGAATCAGGTAGCATTCAACGTTTTCCCCCCACTGCTGAGGTGTTCAGTGGTCACTCTCTGCTGGGGTGCTTGTTTCATTGACTTTTGCTGCGCAATCCATCGCTTAGAAGAGCAGACTTCATTTCTTGACTGGTTTGGTGGATCTTTTTACTCATTGTCAGTCAGCATAAATAATAAATCCAGAAAATGTGCTGTATTTGTTGTTGTTTCCTCCATGTGCTTTTCCTCCATCTAATTTAATGTAAACTTCATCTCCTGGCTCCAAGTGAAGAACCACGCTGTTACTGGCATAGTCGTAGTTCTGATCAGCATCCTGAGCAATCGCACTTGCTCGAACCTACATAAAATACAGAATGACTGGTTAAGAAAACTCAAACCATTTTTCCTGCCTGGTGAAATAAAAGCATATCCTCAAAGTTTTATTCAACATGCATGAGTTTCCATTTTAAACATCTGGCAACAGAGATTATAGTTTACTCCTATGGCAATCGCTTACTTTCTCCTACTGTACTTTGGAAACTAAAGCAATAATAGTCTTCTTTCTCAGTCATCTGATGAATACACAACTCCCAGATCTTCTATAGATGCCAGGAGCCTTTTTATAAATATATGTAAGAATAGCTGGAATTGGGAAAACTGGATCTGATCATGTGCCAGTTTTACATTGATGTAACTTTTGTGTCAGTGGGACAAGTGATTGACAATGTTGAGGATCCACAGGGAGGCCCACAGGGAGCTCCCAAGATGGACTTTTTCCAGGGGCAGTTTATTGTCATACTAAGCAATAGGATCATGCTGCAAAAAACAAATACAAGAAGTACACCCCTACACAGACATGCACACAAGCAGTCTGGGTTTGGAAAAACTGCTATTACTACATTTCAGTAAGCAAACATTTAATTTCACTGTGTTTTCAGAGATGCACTTGTGAAAAAAAACACAGGCAAGTCACTATTTGCTGTTAAGAGGTTTTTGGAATTTAAAAGTCATTGAGGGCTTTTCATTTGCAACTTTCTCTTAAACATATTTTTTTCCCATTTCTCCCTTGGTATTCCACTACTGATTAAATTTGACATTTCTTGCAAACTGGAAGTAATCTGTAATTTCAAGATATATGTTGGTTTCCAGCAATGAACAGCCTTTGCCATTGTAAGTCTCCAAATCATTTATATATAATTTGACTCTGTTTGGTAAAATATTTAAACACAGTTGTGTGTGATTTATTTCAGTGTAACACGTCATCTGCTTGTTGCTTGTCTTTGTTCTAGTGTAGTTACAGAGCAGTAAATGATTTAGTGGCATTGCAAATCTGAACTAAGTAATAATGCATGACTTGGCGTACTATATGTGGGATTTTTTTCTGCTCTGAACTGAAAAAAATAGGCTATAAGTCACAATTTTCCATGGATTCCTTTCAAAGTTTACATGATAAATTTCCAAATTAAATTTTCATGTGATATGATTTCACATTAATATTGAAATGTTTAAAAGGAGGGGGTTCTTTTACCATGCAGGATCTTATGGCATTATGCAGCTTAAAAATCACAGTAGGTGGAAATTCTTTATGCATCCTGTAAGAACAGTGAGAAAGGCTGCAAAGGCTTGCAGAGCTGTGACAGGCTGCAAATTTAAACTGATACGTGGCATGATGATAAACCCCGACTATTTCAGGACTTCTTGGTCCTGACTTGTCTGGTATTGTTTACAGAGGTGATCTATTTTGCTAGTTTTTAAAGCAATAATTATTCTAAATACTGGGTGTTTCCTTTGGAATAGTGACTGGCAGGGCAGAGTTGAAGGCTCTGGGCCATTAACCCTGGAAAGACCTTCCAGAGAAAATAATGGACTGAGATGGTTGCCTGTGCTGGAAATGGAAAGGGCAAATGGGGAGGAGTGAAAAGGCTACAGACAATGTAGAAAAACTTTCACAGAGAGTTAGTATCTTGCGTAATGGTGAGAAAAATGGTTTAAAGGACTTTTTGAACTCATGTTTACTTCCTAATGAAATGCTGCTTTGTGGATTTGTATAAAATCTTGTGGATGGTGATGGTGAATTTGAATTGCATCTGTGACTATCCTAAGGGAGTCAGCATGTGGACACTGGCTACAACAGCAATGGATATTTCATTTTCAAGATTCTACATAATACATACTGGCTGGAAAAAAATATGCTTGGTATTGAAAGTCAAGAAACCAAAATGCAGATATTACTGCCCTGTGTGTAGCAGCAAAGGTCCTCTATGCTATTCTTAGTGGGTTTGCCTTCTTGCTTGGTTAGCCAGAACACTTTCTTTTTAAAGCCTAGGTGAACAGTCTCAAATGAATTCTTCTCAAACTAATAGAGTGTACTGCTGCAAGAGGGTAAATGCATCTCAAAATTAAAGCATTATGAGACAATACATTTCATAAGTTCCAAGTTCTTTCATGAAGCTACACTCAGCCTGCAGACACATACCTAGGCTGTGTCACCTCAGCAATTCCCTGCTCAAGCTTGATAACCATTAAAGCAGACACTGTGGTAACACTGGGGACCTTGAGGTTTCACATATGGATTGCTTAGGAATGCTTTTTAATTTTTTTTTTCTGTAAGTCATACAGTTTTCAGCGTTTCGGGGTTTTTTCATTGTTAGAGAACATTGGATTTATAATATTGCCTTTGTCACTCCATTTGGCTACTTACTCCCAAAATTTCTGAGCTTCCTTACAAATATCCTAAAGCCTGTCACATCAGCATTTATTGTATCAAGTATAAATCCTAATCAATCATTAAGGCATCAAAATTGTGGGTCGATTTTAAACCATTGATATGCAGGTATTTACCTAAATATCTTGTATAATACATACAAATGTACACATAGAACCCCTCCTTAGGTGGGATTTTTCTTTCTTCTTTGAATAACTATGAGTTTGTCTCATGTCTGGCACTGGAAGTACCTATATTTGGAAATGCTTAGACCGCAGGTTCAATTGAATATTTGTAATTGGATGCTTCTTTAAAACTACTGCTACGTATTTATTTTTCAGGGTTTGGGAAAATAAACAATCTACAACATTATAAACATGGGTAAAAATAGATAAATTCTTTAATTGTAAGTAGAAATGTATTTCTGCAGTGAAGAATATTGTTTTTGTAGCAAGGTACTAAAGTGAATATATTAGGATGTACCTAGTTTTACTAATCCTGGTTTATCTGCTGAGACAGTATTTATGGTAGATATTTTCTAATTTAATTAATTGCCGCTGATATCCTCATTATTCCGTTTTCACAGTCCTGAGGAGCCATAAACAAAAGGTTAAGTGGCATATCAGATTAATTTACTGGCCGCCGCCGCTCCCGGGTGCGCCGAGCACAAAGGGCCGCCAGCCGGCCGTGCTGCGCTGGGGAGGAGAGGCGCAAACGAACGGGGTTTTCCAGGCACGGCGGGGACACGGGGTCCGGAGTCCAGTCCTAGGGACACGGCGGGGAGCCGATCCATCCCCCAGCCTACCCCGCCGGAGGACGAGCAGCCCCGGGAGAGCGGCAGCGCTGGCTCCGGGCTCCGCGGGCGGCCAGCCCACCCGGGACGGCTCGGACGCCTCGGGACCTGTTGAGCCGCCGGTGCGCGGCGGGTCCCTCGCCCTCCCGCCGCACGGGGGGCCGGGATACCGGCGAGAGCACCGCGGAGCTCGGGGACACGGGAACGATTGGGCACCTCGCACCATCCCTGGGCATCCAAAGCCTTGAGGGATGGCGGTGCCTCTAAGCGCCGGAGGAATTGGTGCCAGCCTAAGCGTGCCTGTTCACTACACACGGAAGAGGCGCAAAATTGCGAAGGAGAGGTTACAAGGGGGCAATGTAACAGGCAGTGGCTACGTTTATCCTAGTTAAAAGGGATGATTCCTCTGTATTTCAGACGGTAGCATTGCAAGCCCTTTAATTATTTCCGATGCTTTCATCCTGCCCAGGGGATGCCGACAGACTCGGGTCCTGCCCGGGCTCTCCGGGCGCCCGGTGTACCTCCTGGCAGGTCCCGCCAAGGGCTCAGGTCTGCGAGCGCCGAGCTCGCTCTATTACCAGCTCTCCTAACAGGGAGAAGAAGACTCGCACCCCTCCGGGGCCTGAGCGTGTCAAGCCCGGCGCTCCGCGTGGGAACCCCGTCCCGTGCTGTGGCTGCGTTCCTCCCACTCACCTCACCCTTTCTCCACACAGCACCACCCTCTCCTGAGCTCACCCACCGGCCTTGGCTCCCCTTTCTTGCCAGGGACTTTCCGCTCCCCAAGGGAGCGCCGGGCTTTTCGTGCCCCTGCGGGGGCAGCGCTGTTTGTACGCCCGCCCCCGCTCCCGTCCCGCAGCGCTGCGGGCCGCGCTCCGCGCCCGGGGCGGTGGCCAGGGCGGGCCGGGAGCTGCTCTGCTCGGAGAGCGGCCTGGGAGCGGCACCTGAGGAGCGGCTCTCGGAGGGGAGAGCGCGTCGAGTCCGCATTCAGCCAGCAGCCCGGGCGGCCTCGGCTGTGCGCGGAACACCCGGCCCCTCGGTAGCCTTCGGGTTCCCCGCCAGCTACGGAGAGGAGGCCGCTGGTCCTCATCGCTCTCCTCCCGCCGCCCGGGCTCGGGCTCCGCTCCCCCGGCACGCACCCGCGCCGCCTCCAGCGGCCGCCCGGCTCCCTCTCCCCGCCCGCTTCCCGCCCTTCCCGCGCCGCTCCGCCCGCTCCCGCGCAGCGTCCGCTCCCTCGGGGAACCCCCTCCGCCCGGGGACCCCTGCCCTCCTGTCCCCGGCTGCCCCCGGCGCGGCGCCCACCTGGTTATTCTTGCAGAGGTCGGCCCACATGCTGGTGCCGTCGCCGCCCCGCATGAGCACATGGTAGGTGAAGAAGTAGATGCCGGGGATGGAGCAGGTGAACTTGCCCGTGGTGGGATCGTAGTGGTTGCCGAGGTTGGTGACCACGTCGTCGAACTTGAGCACCTCGTAGCCCTCGTGCTGCCGCTTGAGGCCGGCGTAGAAGGCGATTTTGGGGACGGTGCTGTAGGTGGCGGCGCTGATGGCCCCCGCCGCGTTCAGCCCCGGCGCCCCGGGGGGGCCCGGCAGGCCCTGCCGCCCCGGCTCGCCCTTCTCACCCGGCGGCCCCACCGGGCCGGGCGGCCCCGGTTCCCCCGGCGGGCCGCGCGGCCCCGCTTTGCCCGGCCTGCCGGCCTCCCCCTTGGGCCCCTGGATGAAGGTGGGCAGGGACTGCATGAGCCCGCGGTCGGGCGTGGCCGCAGTGCTGGGCGCTTTGGTGCCGCCGTAGGGGTCGCAGACCATGCGGCAGGTGCCCAGCATCTCGTAGTGCGCCGAGGTGCCGGCCGAGCTGACCAGCACCGGGATGAGGATGACCAGCAGCAGCACCATCACCACCCCCAGCGCGCCGGCCGCTATCAGCCGCCGCCTGCTGCCCACCAGCCGGCTCAGCGCAGGGCGATCCTCTTGTCTGCTTTTGGACAAAATCTTGATGGTTGGCGGGGTTCCTCCTCAGAGCCGAAAAAACGCCGAGCCCGCGCGAGCTCGGCTCCCCTGGGGCTCGGCCGCCCTCCCAAGGGCCGCCGGTGTTGCGGGGGATCCCGCGGGTCGCGGCGCTCCGCTGCGGCCGCTGCAGCCGCGGGGCGGGCGAGGGAGCGGAGCGGAGCGGGAGAGGAAGAGCTGCCGCCGCGCCCCGGCTGCCCGCACTTTTATGCTCCCGCTGGCGATCGACTTTTTTTTTTTTTGCAGGCTGTGCCAGTCCGAGTCAACTTTCCCTGGAACTTGCCTTTCCTCTCGCGATCGCCCCGCTCGCCTCCTCGCTCTCTCTCTCCCTCTCTCTCTCTTTTCGCAGAGACGACAGTCCTCAGCGGGGACGCGCCTCCCGGCCGCCCCGGTACCCGCCGCCCGGTGCCCGCGCCGCCGCGCCGAAGCCGAAGCCGGAGCCGGAGCCAGAGCCGGAGCCGGAGCCGAAGGGAGAGCGGGATCCTGCCCGAGTGCCACCTGCCAGGAGAGGAGGAGGCTGACGAGCGCGCTGGAGCAATTTATAGGCACCCAAAAGCGCAGGGGAAAGGGGAGCTGCTTTGGCATCTCATTCCAGCATCTGCTCTGCTCTTCCCACTCACAGAGAGTTTGGCATTACTCTGGCAGTGTGGGAAATATATTTTTTTTTTTTCTTTTCTCCCTCCCCCACCTCTCCCGCAAACGGATGAACAGCGAAATCGTGAGCCTCACTCACTAGCTGCATCTTGTGATGACAGCTCTTTCTGAAGCAGACCGAAAGGAAGAGACGTGCTTAGCAGCCTCTGGGTACCCTTCAGGTCACCGATCGAGAATTAAAAGGTCAATCTACCTCCTGCTTAACGCTTCCCTGAGGCCCCTTTGCCATGTTAGCGTTTTCTGGGAAATACCGCTTTACATGCAGGGATGTTTTACCAATTGTCCAAGTAAAAGTTATTTGAAAATTACCTCCAACAATAATAAAAAGAGTAACGGCAATTTCGGATCTCCCTCTTTCTTCTCGTGCGAATTGCAACCATAAAGGCAGAAAAGGAAATAGTTTTTCCTGTGAATTAAAATTTACGTGCTCATCACTGGCTACAGTGTTTCCCGATGTTAAAGCCAGCCGCTGCTCTGCTTGCAAACCGACACTGAGGGAAAGCGTTCCCTTTTGTTTAGAAGCCAAAGAAAAGTCCGGGGTATATGCAAATCGTCAGATGCTTAAGACCTGATATAAAGATCTCTTTGGCTTAACTCAGGGGCAACAAAGCATTTTGTTAAATCTTGGAGGCTGTTTTGTGGTGGTTGTTTTTTTGTTTGGGTTTTTTTTGTTGTTTTTTGGTTTTTTTGTGCATGAAAGTCTTCTCCTCCCCCAGGGTCTAGTGGGCACCTTTGTGGCTGAGTGGGAAGGTGAATGTGCAGTATTAGTGGCACAAGATATTAAAGAACTTGTCCTGCTTACAGATATACAAGGTACACAAAGAGCTGTTTAAATAAACAAACAGAATTGATTCCTAAATCATACTTCTGTATTCAGGAGCAATGGATGTCAATCAAACCTGGGTGACATTTGCCTGTCAATACAGGGATGATGGCTGGAAAGAGTGTGACTTATTACAGCAAGGCAAGAATCAGAAATGAGCAACAGCGGCAAATAGGACAACAACCAAATAATGGCATCTCCAGTGATGATCAGAGGGCTGTGATCTTGTCTTGGATTTTATTAGCACGAATCTGCTCTCCCCTCACCGTTCCCTTTTATTTCTTTTCTATTCTGCAACACAATAAGGTCAAACAAGCAGCAGTGGGAAACAAAGATTCATTGATTCTTCCTTTTAAGCAGAAATGTCAGCAGCTCCTTTTGCTCTTTCCTGAGAGACTCAAAGGCATCGAGTGTGTCCATGCCGTGCAGAGATGGGCCAGTCCAGCTCCTTATCTCCCAAGAAAACTGTCGACAAAGCTTCCATTCATGCACTTGTAAATATTACTCCCTCCCCTTTTTAAAAAGTTTTTTTTTTCCCTTTTCTCTAATGCTCTGTCTTAAAAAAATTCCTTATCTGGCACTGACACAAGCTAGCCAGTTCCCTTAGCTAAGGGCTTCCCCTCAAGACCCAGGAAGGCAGTCAAACACACTTGGAGGATTATGTTCATATCTCATTGCTCTCTTCACCCCACGGGAAAGGGCTTTCAGCACTGTTTTTTCTTTTGGGTAAGAAAAACTGAAAAGATGTGCCAGAAGTGACTGCTCTGTCTCAGCCTGTAGCTGGGCCCTTGAGGTGTTGTATTTAGTCATCCCTAAGCCAGCTGGTTTTTGTGACATCAGGGTGTGCATAAGCCTCCATTGCAATGGCTGTGATACACGTTAGGCAAAGGCCAGATCTCATCCTCAAATAAACACAAATCTGTCATGATCTGTGAAGCCATTGTGATGCTGGGTGACCTTTTAGTATCAAGCACACCTGCAGTTTCTTACTCCAGCTATGATAAGCCTGATTCTAGTGAGGTCCTACCATACCAACCATGTTTTCCTCAATAGTTTTATCTCACGCATACTGCCTGGGATGCACTGTTGCAGACCTTCTCCCAAAAAAGACAGCCACAAAAATCACAGCCAGAGTAACCAGAATAGAGAGATCAAGGAAAATACTGGGTTGTCAGCAGAGGTTATACGTTAGCTTGGAAGATAACATCTGACCTTGGATTTAGTTACCAGATTAACTTTAGTTCCCAAGGAAAAATCATATTTTCTTGGAAAACTAAGAATGGGAAACCAAAGTGCTCAGAAGTTATGCACCACAGATCTCAGCAGTCTGATGAAAATTAAAAAGAAGAGTAGAAAACTCTTTTTACTATGGGACCTTTGTTGTCCTGAAATGCTGTGTCAACAAATTGATTTGCTGTAATTAAGGCTTGGGTAGCACTTAGGTTATAATCTCTCCATGCTAAAGGCTGACAGTCCAGATTGACAGTCCATTCTTAGTGTAACCATTAAACCTATATGAGCTGCTGCCAGTCTTAATGTGCTAAATTTATTTGTATTTTTGAAGCCCTCTTGCTGGCTGGCTCCAGCTTTTCAGCTTGTTTGCTTCCTTTCCTGTTTTCTCAGCCCTTGTGCATTCAGACTTGCAGGTGGTGTTTGAGCTGTATCCCTTGCAGCCTCTGCTATTTGCAACAACTTTGTCACAGACCTTACTCATTAATTAGTTAATATTCATGCAGAGACTTAAAGACATACAGCATAACATGCATGTCCATTTTACACATGTGCTGTTGCCTCAGCACTAACACAGGAAAACTGAAGAAAACCATTTACAAATTTATCCACTGGCACACAGGGCAACACAATCTGCAGGCACCAAGCACAAAATGGCTCCTCATGTCTGCACTGCTAAATTCAAAGTTAGCCCAGGAAAAATAATCTGTGAAAAAGGTCAACCCTTTATCAACTACAGTAAGCAGGAGTAACATGGAAAAAGACATATGCCTAGAAAATGAGTGTGCCAGTGATGTGCCAAGCTCCACACTGCTTCTGCTCACTCCTATCTGCATCTGGTTTACTCTGACTTACATTTTCAATCTCTTTTATTATTATTTTAGAGACGTGATTTGAATTTCACTCTGCTCAGAAATTAAGGTTTTCTACACTGTCCTGTTATAAACACTGGTTTAATTACGTATGTAAAGATTAGCATTCAGCCTGGGTCCCAGTGATATGGTCAAGGAAAACACATGCACTCATTCCAACACATAATTAGGTTCAATGCTGTAAAATATAAAGAGGGAAAATATTTATATCACTAGAGATGGCTCAAAGGTACCGTGGTGACAGACATGGCAGATGACATCTTGCTATCCCAAACCATCCTTGGTATCCTAGACCATGTTTCCTTAGTTTGGTAAAATCAGCACTGGCATTTGTGTCAGGTAGCAGGTCCTGGAGAGGACCATGTCCTCCACCAGTTTTGGTAGGAGATGGTACAGGCAGCTTTAACCAAACTCTCAGAAAACCTGTTTTGGTCAGGATGACTGAAGACCAAATATGTTTTTAGAGCTGCAAGGTGCCCACTGTATTCCTTAATAAAAATTAGGCTTTTCATGCTTATGGAAAGAAAATCAGCTGTGGTGTGTAACAGTAAAAAATAGTTTTACTTATTTTTGGAAGTTTTTATCTGTCCTCTAGAACATAGGAAGTCCTTTTACAGGCTATTCTCTGCTACTAAGGGATTTAAGCCTTCTTTATATGTGATTGGAAATAATGTAGATTACGTTTTATTTCAATTAATAAAGCCCTTTGAAGACCAGTCTCTGAATGCAAAGGTAGGAAAATGATCCAAAGAAAATATGTACAGCCTTGAAAGGGTTACATCCACTTTTCAAATCCAAATGGGGAGGGAATTCGAGGAGGGCTGTTGCTAAAGTGACAGGGCTTAACAAGGAGAATTTGCAAATATATTTGACATATTTCTTCCTTTTTATTTTTTAATCTAAAAAGATCAGTCAAATATGACTGGTTACGGGGGGGAGGGAAGGATTGAGAGCAGAATTAAAGTGGAAAGATTGGAACCAAAATCATGCATGTCATGTTTTGACTGGTGAATTACCGCAGATATAAAAACATAACTTTGTATGTAAAAATCAGTCTTAAACACACAGGAACCTAAAGATTACACATTCAGCTGACAAAGTTTAAAGATATAAAAGAATCACATATGACACTTGATAATTGTCAATGTAAATAGCAGTAATTAACCATAAAAGATTCTCATAATTGCGAGTGCCCCTGTTTATTCAAAATAAAGCACTAGTTGCAAGCAAAAAAATTGTTCTTTCAGGTTTCTTCTTTCCCATTAACCTTCAAGCCTGCTGGTGTGTGTCTTCTCTCTATTTTATCCCTCTGGAGTCATGATCTAAGGTGATGAATACAAGTCTGTAGTGCTGCTTGGGAAAGCATATGTACAGTCAACCTTGGGATTATTTTTGGTTATGATGCAAACA